TTCTCTACATATGCCAATAGCCCATTACTTGGGTAGCGAAAAAAAAAAAAAAAAAAAAAAGGTGGGTGGGTGGGTGGGTGGGGGGAAGGAAACGGCTTGCACGAACCTCCTCTCAGTAAGTATGGTACATACAGTAGCTTCCAACGCTTTCACGGGCGAAATTTCTTCTGATTCTCTCACTCTCGCTATGTTTTTCCCGAACAAGGATGGACAGGAGAACGAGACATCAATTTGCCTTGATTGCATTGCTACACATCATCTTTCTCTTCTGTTTTACACCACGTTGGACGGTTTGAGGCGCCGCCGTGCAGCCATCGTGGAGGCCGCTTCACCACCGTGAACAGTTCCTAATGTTGGACCGGTAACGACTTCGTCCACTGCCGGGTTGAACTCCGGTGTGGCAACAAAGCGCTTAAACAAATGCTCTAGACGCGCACGTAGCCCCTTAAGTGAGCACGCTGTACGACCACGTTGCAGCAAGTCAGACTCACGATCCACAAGTTCCACTATTTGCTGCGTTAAGGGGGAGTCAAATTCCTTCACGGTCCATTTGATATGCAACAGCACGTCAAGGCGGGCTTCGACGGAGGACGGTACCTCTGCCAGCGCCAGGTATAACTCACGCAACTCCCGCGCACGCTCCGCAGCCCGTGTGATAACAGAGACCACGCCACACTGCTTGGGGCTTGTCATCAAGGCAAGAATATCCTCAAAGCGGCGCGTGCGGCGATTTTGCACGACCTCGCGGCGGAGCGTTTCAAGTTCCTGAAGAAGGAGCACTTCCTTTTTCGTGAGATCTGAAAGTGCTTCACGCTTCGCCACCTCGCTAAGACTCTTGTCCACAAGAATACGCGCCGCCTCGGCCGCCCGCCACGCCTCTAACTCACGACGAAGCGTGGCAAAGTCGTCAGCGGTGCGTGGCGTCGCGCGGCGTCTGCGCTCAAACTCTTCAAGGCGCTGCTTTTCGGCCTCTTCTGCAGCAGCCTGTGCGGCAGCGCGATCCAGTAAAGCCTGTCGCGCGCCAAACAGCTCACAGTATACCTTGCGTGCCCTCCACTTTCTATACATCTTCTGCAGTACCACCACCTTTTCCGTTTGTAGCGCAAGCAGCTGCACTGAGGAGAAGTAGGTTTTTGCGACAACTGTTTCATCATATATGTCGTCCGCTTCATAGTCCGGTCGCGCTGTCTGTGTGCTACACTCCCGCAGTGTCTGACAGCTCCGTGACACACCGTACGTTTGCGTCCTCCGTGAAACCCCATCGCGTGGAAGGGGCCCATATTGCAGGTCCTCTAGATTTCTATCACCAGGGGATCTAAGCTGTGTTGCTGCATGAAGAAAGACACGTGAGGGGTCCTTCTTGAGACGATAACCTCCCAGAAAGGGCATTTGAGTGCCGCTTGGCTCTTGCACAATCGCCACGGAAACAATGTTGCTGTCCTTGTTTTTCCGCCGGATTTCATTAATAGCCTCATCAAAGGCTAATCCGCGTCGACGGGCAGCGACAAGATCGGCTGGGCTAATGTCAGCTGACCGCGCGCGTAACTGTGGACACTGCAGGAGATTGTCTTCTCTCCTGAGTTTTTGAAGATGCGGTGGTATCTTGTCTTCGGCAAAGTGTACATCCACCCATAAACGCCCTGTCTCCTTAGGTACCGCCCTCTCGAAAGCTATTGTTTCCCCGAAGCGAATACGATGGTCTCCACAGTAAACTTTTATCGCTTCGGGATGAGTCCCCAGGCGTGAAGCGATTGCCTCATACACGAACCTCGTGGCAATTTTATCACCTGAGGAACCTGGCGCCTTCACTACAGTACGAAACCGTATAGGATACACAGTGGCATCAATAACCACGTCATTCTGTGTGTAGACAAAATAGTCACCAGGGGGCACCTCGAGATCAGTGGCACTACAAGCAGAAGATATCGTAGTGGGAGCAGTAGGACCTGTAGGAGCAGTAGGAGCTGTAGGATCTGTAGGAGCTGTAGGAGAGGCAGGTAAAGAAATATCTGACGAAGGAAGGTCCTTTCCAATTTCTGTCTGAGCCCCGTGAGAAGGCTGTTGTGGCTGCATAATTTCTTTTTCCCCAACCGTGGTCGTTGCAGCAGCGACTGGAGCCAAAAGATCTTCTAGTTCTTCGTGAGGCTTCTTCTCTGGAGACGCCTCTGCACCAACCAGCTCCGGTTTTTGTGTTTCTCCCTCATAAGACTCCCTTGCCTCTTCCTGTTGCACGGGCTCCTCCACAACAGCATCCGGCTGCAGTGCGTGACTTTCCTCGTTTGGTTCTTCCATGTCCTCTAAGTGCGGAGGCCGTGCCTCCTCCCCGGTCTGTTGTTCTGGTTGTTCATCCTCCGCACGGGGCCCTGGGGTGCCCTGGGGCTCTGACGGCGGTGCGCCTTCGTTGGCGTCCATGGATGTGGGTTTGCTTTTTAAAGTGTATGCGCTCTCACTACCACTTTTCTAGTGATCTCCTTCATTACCAAAGCCATTGAGGAAAACACAAGTAAGTGGGAAATTGTTGATACAACAGTCACCCTAAATACCTTCACACACAATCACCTCCTTATTCTCTTTCCTTGGTCGTTTTTTTTATTTTGCTAGTTCAATATAATATTCCTACTGTTATCCACACACACGGACGCGCAAACACCGCCCCACAGACAACAGCGGAAGGAATAATGGGAAAAAAAGTGGGGGGTCCACTTAGTCATTCTCTTTTTAGCCGCCTTCAGCCACTGTGTCATCCACAGCCTTCCGTTCCCGTTCTTCTAACAGGGCCAGCTGCTTCTGGATGAGTTTCTCGTTTTGTGTTGCGTAGACCTCGTACAAGCAGATACCGACCGTTGCGCTCACCACGAGGCCACTGATGGCGCGAATCATAATGAGCACTGCCACAGAGGGAAACGCGCCTGCGTTAGCGTCTACACACACACTGCCTATTCACCTAGCTACAACGCCTTTATATTCCAGCGAAGAAGAAATAGAAAAATAAATTCAACCCACAAAGTAATAACCCTGATAATTCACGAAAGCTCAAACAACAAAGACACAAGACCTCAAGCCAGAGGCAATGTGAGTTGCGCCGGGAAGTGAACCTCACCCGGCAAACTTCTAATTGTTCATTGTTAGCACCGTAAGCCAAAACAAGCATAGAAAACGGCAAAAATTGCAATCCTTTTTTTTTTCTCTTTTTTAAGCAGGTAACATAATTTATGAGCTGTACCTCCTTTCGTAACATTTCCTCGATGAGTTTCTACAGGCAACATAACGTCATAACAGGCTGCACAGACACCTCTAAGGGACAAAAAGCGTCAGAAGACGCACAAACTCACACGAACGGCGCCTGTTTAACTACGCGCTAGCTCTAGTGTTGAGACACTCCATCAGCTCCTCATGAAACTTAGAGGCATCCCGCAGATCAAACACAGGGTCACCCGTCTCCACTGTCTTCACCATATCGGCGTTGTGGTAGAGGTTACTGAGCGCATCTACCGCCTCCTGGCGCTCAAAAACGAGGGATGGCGGCAATTGCGCCAAGGATGGTGGCGGGGGTGAAGCGGAATGCTCTTGCGAGGCGTGCGGTGGGGACGGCAGAGTAGCGTTAGTCCTTCGGTTTGTTGCGTCCTCCGCACGTGCCTGCGCGCGTGCTCCCACCCATTTTCTCGATGTTAATTGCTGCGTTGTTTTCGACATTTTTGGACTGCCACTTCCTTTAGCCTCCTTTATTATTTCTTTTTGCTGCTTCCTTGTTACCTGTCGCTTAGCTTACTTCCAACCAAAGAGAGAGACACACACACACACAAATAACGCTACAACAGCAGAAAAAAAAACGGTTGAGACTTTACTCACAAGCCACCAATATACCCCACTACGCTCATATATATATATAAGGTGAAAAGTTACTTGGCTGTTGTAGACACGCAAAGCAGTTGCGCTTCGGAGCCACTCTAATCACACACGCCGCCGCATCAAGATACCCAAGTAGCAAAATAAAAGAAAAAACGAATTAAGGGGCATTCAAAAATACACGACGCTGCAGAACCACAGCAAGTACGTCACTCTGTTGCTCTCGTTAAGCACAGGCTTGTCCTTCGTAGGGGCTGCTAGTATGATTATTCTCAATACTATCCTTTTTGTACACGTCATACGTTTTTATTATTAATATAATTGAGCTTTTTTTTTTGCGTATCCCCTGCCTTAAATCACACACGCACAGTGACGCACGGGATAATTAATGCTGATATATGGGATTAAATGGGGGACAATGCTGAAAAAAAAGAGAGATGACATCCGTGGAGGAAAATTTCATGCATCTCAGACATGCGCAAGCCACTGCCTCCATGTCTCTACCTCGTTGCGAATATCGGTAAGGGCCAATGCATCTACAGGGTCCGCACGTTCCTCACACTTCACCTCAGCCAAGGCAGCAGGAATTTTTTCATCTATTAGCTTGCTCACCTCGGTCGCACTCAGCATTTTTGCTGCTCCTCGATCCCTGTTCTCTCCCCTGTCTCCTGCCCAGGAAGAGCGTAGCCGTGGCTCATACAAGTCTATACGCCAACGAAGATAACCGTAGGCCCCGCGACGCCTATGAATTGTAGCGGCAGGCAGTTGCCTAGCTGCTCCCTCCCCACCCCTTCTTTCCGATGATCGACCCGCTTTAATGAAACCGTTATGGTCGTTGTTGCCGGTTAAGAAATATTCCTTCGTCTCTGAGGATAGAAAGGCACCCGGTAGGAGCGGAGAACCCCATGGTAATGTATTTGAACCAGAAAGCATACTTCCACCCGACATCGGAGTTCCACATCTCCATTTTACCCATAAATCATAAACAATGCGCTGCCATTCATGAGGCGTCTGGGAAGAAATTTCCTTCCTATTGCTTTTCGCATTCTCGATGAAAGGCACCGCTGATGTCAGGAGAAGGATGCGCTGAAGTGAGGGGGCTGTTTTCTCGGACTCATGAAATGCTCGCCATTCCAAACGCACTATTTCGTTTTCCATTTCTCGCCTACCTAAATTCCCCAATTCTTCTTCATTGTCAAGATTGATCGAGTTGGGCGCCCTTTGTGACAATGCCTCACGAAACAGGTTAAAAGCACCGGCCTCTTTCAGCTCTTGTATCTGATGAGCATTGAAAGAGAAAATACTGTCCTCTGTGGCAGCTGATACTGGACCCCCCTGGTGCCGTTTGCAGCGCTGCGTTCCGTTACTCCGCCGGCCTAGGGAGCCATCGCCTGATGAAAATGGGATGGCCGGATGACTAGCAGAAAGAGAGGCAACAAACTCACTTTGCCCATGTTCAGCCGCAACACGATCCACCGTAAAGATTGGGGGTTGGGCGATTGAGGCCTGTGTTGGTGACACCATATTCCCATGGAAGGCAGGAGTCAAAGACGCGTTCGAGCACCGCAGCATGGCCGTTAATGGAGCATCCGGCCAACTAAAACAATACGACTGTTCATCGTAGAGCAAACCAACCCGTAGCTTATGCTCGACGTCTACAGAACGCTCTTCTGCTGCATCAAGAGGTCTATATCGTTTCCTAAGCATCATCCAAAATCATACATAACCTCTTTTTTTTGTTGAGTTCAACAATTTTCGCCAAAAAATAAAAATGATAAACATGCAAAGGAATAAAGATAAGAGAGGGAAGATAAATAATCAATGACCGCAGCTTTATATATATATATATACACGTATGTAAACAACTACATGCCACTGACAATATTGCAAGGCAGTTCTTTCATGGATGGCACTTGTCGTTGCAGTTGCCACGTATGTATTTCATTTCTCTGGCCCCTGCACACACATTGTAAACAAGGTGGGAAAGGATGCTCGCAACTAACCTGCTAGATACCATCGGCGGTGATGGCAGGGACATCTAGAACTGTGGGCTCCGTGGATAGTCCAGCACGCCTCATGGACAAAAGAGAGGCGTAGGGTATGGAGGTACGATCAGGAAGCACCATCTCTGGATCTTCGGCCAATATGAGAATTAAATGAGAAGACCGCTTCGTTTTCCACGCATAATATCCGCGGCTGCGGATGTCGATCTGCTTATCTGTCGGACCTGGAAAGCAAGAAATGTGAGCGATGCGCAAATGCTCCTTGTCGAGCCCTTTCGCTTCAGCCCCTTGCTGTGCAATTTCAAGGGCACGAAAAACAATTTGATGCCCCTTTCGCATGGACAGCTTGCATTGTGCCATAGCCTCCCGCAGGGACAATCCACGCATAACGCTAATTTCGATATCAAGCTTTTTCCAACTTGAAGGAACTGCCTTCATCAAAAGTGTGTATTGTGGCAATCGTTCCAGAGAGGCCGTCAATTCTGTCTCTAACCGTTCGCAATAAAGCCCCCAGTTTACTTTATGCATCATACCCTCTTCTTCAACCAAGGCGTATCTATCCTCGTTCACACGCTGACTGTTCACTACACGCTCCCAACGATTGATATCGGGAAGGTTTACCTTGGTAAGCCAAACGGATTTCCATAGACTACGGTCAAGAAGAATACGCGGAGTTGTGCCTCGATGTCGTTGAATGGCAAAAGGTCGGACAGAAAAGTACTGCTTCTTGTACCAAACATTGCGAGCCCCATGTTTTTGTGTGTACAAAAACTGAGACCCAACATTGCTGCGACGGGGAAGTATGTGTCCCATCGCAAATCGGGGTGCTGGCTTTGGCATTTTGGAAAAATATCAGCCAATTTTTTTTTCTCAATTTAACTGATACACACTACGCTTATCTCCTAATGAGGAAGAGGTAAAGAGAGAAAGTAAGACCCATCTGAAACGTGTATTCCTCCTCCCCACTCTCAATAGATTTCTGTTGGTCTTGTTCCGAACAGCTTTGCAAAAAAGGAGAAACAAAAAAAAACGGGAAAAAAATGTCGCAAAACGTAATCAAGCGCACACAAATAAATAATTAATAATACCAGGAGTAGCTACTGCACCTCTCTCTCTCTCTCTCACCCCCCCAGATGTTGCCGTGTACGACCTTATCGTCAGTGCCAGCGTCAAGTGCACCGTATTGTTGGCGTGAGCGAAAGACTGGCATCATTTTCCTTACCGGGATCATTGCTGGCAGAGGGCTCACAGCATCAGCCAACACGCACGGATCACCTGCATCTTGTCGGGAAACATAATTGCATCAGGAGTTTTTAGGACATGCGCACGTAGCCAAACTAGTATTGCAAAAGAGGGCGGGCGAAAAAAAAACAACACTGTATAACCCCCGCCCCACAAAATATGTGGATAAAGTGGTTAGCACTCATCCACTCTCCGAAGTTTTACTGCCGCCGTCTCCATGAAGGCAAAGGGCACAGCGGTCAAAAAGGCGCAAGTTGCCCGGCGACGACCCCTCATGTGAGATAGCCTGATATCAATTTTTGGTATCTACCCCACATTTTTCAGCGCTACAGTAAGCGCGGTTTTACCCGACACTGCGCGATTCGCCACTGTTAACGACTAAAAATCGTGACAAAGAGCCAGCCACCGCGCGGCGTGAAAAGTAGGGTCTGCACCTGTTAAGTTGACCAACTCCGCAAGCGGTGCAACCAAAACATGGGCGATTACAGCCTTCGTACTGCGTGAGAATGTGAACAGATGCATGTATGCTTTATATGCCGCCCCACTACCGTTTACATAAACAGGGGGCTATTTTTATTTTTTTTCTACATCTCCACCCAGTAAAGACTGACCTTTTCTACGACGCTGGCTGGCGTGCAGACCATCGAATTAATTGGAAGAGACCAGAAAGAAAGAAAGAAAAAAATCTCACATGCACTTTACAGAAAGCCCACATACACAGAAAAAAGCTACTTCCCACCAGCAAAAGCTAGAAATTTCTCTCAACCACAAATGTGAAAAAAAAAAGTGAGGTAGAAAAGGAAAAGACTAAACCAACGCAAACAAAACGTTGCAGCAGTAATAATAAAGAATTAGGGTAGTAGTGGTGCTAGCAAATACAAATGATAATGGCAGTAATCAATGTACTAATATATGTAACAATGACAACAATAAGATTACCCTCTCCTCCACTATCAAACGTGCACTACCAACGTCCAATAAAATGAATCACACGCGCTTTTATTCAATCTTGAATTTGAACTCCATTGATCCAAGATGATACAACGTAACTATCACCAAATGAATCTACAGTCCTCAGCCAAACAATAGGCATCAGAGCATACGCAAAAAATCAACCAAGAAAAAGCTATTAATACCCTCATGTATGCCTTCATATAAAAACAAAACAAGGGCGATAAAAAAAAAGACCGGTAAAAACAAAAGACAAAGACAAAAAACAAAAAAAAACTACAGCTAGGAAAATCGTCATATTCTTCAATCCATCCTTGATAACCTCATTTTTTTTCAAAGATCCAGATAATAATTGTTTTGTATCATATTCTCGAGTTGCCTCGCTACCCAAAAGAAAAAAGGTGTTTTCGTTACCCTGTTTTTCTTCATCATGAACCTCACTACTAAAGTCATCAGGGTTTGCCATGAGGGGTTTTGCATTTCTGTTCCTCGTGAGCGCCAAAATATGCTTCATTGGTATGTGCCTTTTCAAAAAAGGATGCAAAGCCACCTGATCCAACGAGGGTCTATCTTCCGGACGGCGTGACATAAGCCACAATGTTAGCTTTTTTGCCTCTTCGCTCACTGATTCTGGCATCTTGCAAATACGTCCCATTTTAATACGTTCCTCCATCTCCCGTTCATCTGCCGTATGCCCAAATGGGAAACAACTTGTCAATAACGCATAAAGAATGCATCCCATAGACCAAATATCCGCCTTAAAAGCGTCATAAGTGAGACCAAAAACTTCCGGTGCCACGTACGCAAGAGTTCCTGTAAGTGTATGGGCATACTCATCAATTTCTGCATGAAAATTGCTTTGTTTATGTAATCGACTTAGTCCAAAATCAGATATTTTCAATACATTGTCCTCCGTTAAAAGAAGATTATCAGGTTTTAAGTCCCTATGTGCTACACCATTTTGGTGACAGGCACGAACACCAGCTAGAAGTTGAAAAAATAATCCAGCTACCACCTCCTCCGCAAGGGAACCATCTTGAGAAGCAATGAGGTTACAAACATCTCCACCTAGAACAGGCTCGAGAATAATATAGTAGTTATTGGGGCTCTCCAAAATCTCCACCAATTGAACTATATTGCGATGCCTCAATCTTCGAAGAATCGAAATTTCTACACGAATATCGTTCTCCACTCTTTGATTGTGTTTGGGTATAATTTTCGCCACGAAACATGCACCGGTAGGAATATGTATTACCCGCTTTACTTTGCTAAATGCACCTGCACCGACAGTTTCAAGGATTTCGTATTCACCTACCCTTCCCATAAATGCAAAATATATGTTTTTTCTTCTTCTACAGCCACTACACAGTATAGCAAAAAAAAAAGGCAACAACAATAACAACAAACTATCTTTTTGTATTCTATTAATATATCTATTGAAAATAGAAGGAGTAAAAATTAAAATAAAAGAACAGAAAGAGCTAGTAAATTCGTGATCAGGCAGTCTCTTTGTTGTTCAACTTACAACAATGCAAGAGGATAATCAAAAATGTTCTGCATCACCGCCCAAAAAACAAAAACAGAAAAACATAAATAATGGAACTAACATGCATAACGTAGTTCTCCTACTAAAGCGAGACTTCATTAACTGTTTGACAGGAGCCGCACTCAAACCGCAGAGTTGACACATCCCTACCAACGCGCAACGCGTTGATACTACTACATTCTCCACAACGAACCTGAAGTGGCCGTGTAGGGGCGGGAGTCGTCTGGGAAGGATTAACCTCACTCTCTGCCTTCTTGCTTTTGAGTTCGTGACAGCACGTACCACAAACAATAGCATCATAATTTCCCTGAGGAATTCGATTCAAGCAACGACAAACAGTACACATAATTGTCTTTTGTTTGTCATCTGATGCATTACGATTTTCATTCGGTGTAGAAACAGGAATATCAGTAAAGCATTGCTCACAAGTATAGGTATGACCTGGCACAATATCAGAAAAAGTGTTGACAAAAGTGCACGCAGGACAAGCTATTAGTTTCGCACCTGATGTCTGATTTGAATTGCTTCCCAGTGCGGGATTAGGCGTTTCAGCGCCATTTATTTCTTCGTGAAGTTGTCTTGCCAAAGCAGAATCAATCTCTTCCTGATTCAATACCCTTTTATTTTCCATGTCCGCAACCTTATTCTCCAGAAGGACAGCTAAAGATAAGACAGCCTGAAGAAAAAGGAACCAAGAATACACCAAAATAACATTTAGGGGGGAAGGTTTAAAAAATATGTAAAAGCGACACGCGCATAAAGAGTAATATCTCACGACAAGAAAAAAAGTAGAAATACAAAAAAAAAACACACAAACAAAATCCACAGGCGTGCGGACACAGGGAGGCGCCCGCCCAACCTCAAAAAACTCCATACCAAACGCGCGGGGACTCTCGACGCGGCGGCGCCCGCGCCGAACCCCCACCGCAAAAAAAAAAAAAAAGGCGCGGCGCACGCGACAATAAGAACACCAATAACCATGATACCACCGTTTTGCGGTCAGCCAAGGAGGGGTGGAAGAAAAAAAACACCCTTGGGAGGTGGGTGCCGCCCGCTGTGGCCGCGGCCTTTCGGGGCGGCGCTCTGGGGTGGGGGGCCCTTGTGCTGTTCTTTTTTTTATATATCTTTGTTTGCGTGTGCGTGTTATGCTGGTTTGGTTATTATTGCCTGCCCTCTCTCTGCCTTTTTGCGCTGGCCTTGCTGCAAGTTACTTTCGCGCGGCTTGGTTAAGTTCCGTTCCGCAAAACCTTCTTTGCATCCTTTATTGGTTTTTTGCCGTTTTTTTTTTGCTTTGGTTTGCCTTAGATCAATGACCGAGGACGCGGGTAGTGCCTATCAGCGGGCGGTTGAAGTCATCGAGGTCGCTACCATCCCTCCTGATCCGGATGCCTTGAGCTGCTTTATGTGGCGGTTGAGACCAAGTGAAGAAGCAGCTATTTTGATCCAGCGTTATTCCAACCCACCTCCACAGTGGGGAATTAAGTTAAGCTTGTCTTCCACGTTTATTGGCCCAGAACGATGTGCTGGTCTTGGGAGGAAACTAATTTTAAATCACACCGTTACGACCTTGGATTTATCAATGTGTGATATGCAGGATGAAGCTGCTGAGGAATTTTTTCATGCTTTAAAAAGAAATCGTTGTTTAAAGCATTTAAATGTAGATGGGAATTACATTGGCGATAAAGGTGCAATTGCTGCTGCAGAGTGCGTTCAAAATTTGGAAACTTTGCACATGTCATGCAATATTATACAGGATAAGGGGGCAATTGCTATTGCATCCTTTTTACGAAAATCATCCAAGATAAAAACTCTTAATCTGCGCGCAAACCGTATTACATTTTATGGCGCTTATAAGCTTATATCGGCTCTAGAACCCATACTGGATATTGTTTCTCCAACCCTTCGTGAAAATATACTGCTACAGGAATCACTTCCTTTAGATGATTCTGAGGGGAGTTTGAGTGCATCAGCGAAACCTTCAGCTTGTGCGAGTTTGGATATAGATGGATGTACTAGAACTGAAAGCAATGTAGACAAATCCTATCAAGGAAAACAAAACTCTAGTTCCATTACGGAACCCTGCAATGAAACGCTTCATACTTTTTGGCTTCGGCATAATTGTGATATTCCCGAAGAACTTTTTATGATTATGGAAAAAATTCTTGCAAAACGCTTTCCTCAACCACCTAAGGGAATATCGAAAAAGAAATTTGCTTCCAAACCGAAAAGAAAATAACTTATTTTTTGGTTTGCTTTTAGCTGAGTTCCGTGGATCTTTTTGCTTCTGCTCTTAAATCCGGAAATTGTTTATTATTATTTTTCCTCTCTTTCTTCATGTATGATTATTATGCTCTTCAGTGAATTCTTGACTACACTGCTCTAAGCAAGGGGTATATTGTAGTACATTTTTTTGAAGTTTTGTATTTATTAATTCTGAAAAAAAACCTTTCTTTTGTTTTTGTTCATTACTATTTTTTTATTTATTGTACAAATTTTTTGTCTTCATAGCTGATGTTCCATAAAAAGCACTTAATAAAGGAGCAGGTAGTTTTGGGCAAGAAAGAGTCAAAACGGCTCAGAGATGTTCCTGCTGCAGTCTTAGGAAAGGAGTACTTGGATTCTCTGGAGTCCTTCTGGAAAAAGAGTGATACTATTACTCGCATCACGTGGGAATTTTCAACTGGGGGTCTGACTGCCTTTTATGTAGTAAATGGGATTCCTTTGATGTTCTCTGTTATTTCTTTACCCGGTGATTCACATGGTATGTTCCCAAGGAAAGATGTAGCGGCGACACCTACATTGTTTTTCTTTTTATTGATGAGAAATTACTACAAAAAAGAGGTTATGGAGATGATCTCTTTATTTGGTGCAACAGTTTGGTGTAGAGGTGCAACATCTCAGTACATTCTTTCTGGGGCACATCTTATGATGCCCGGTATAGTGGGTATTAAAGAAGAAAACAGTAAAACCTTCCAAATGGGAGAAACTGTCTTCATCTGTTCTATAGGAACATTGTGTCCCTATGCTATCGGTTTATCTACAGAGAGACTTGCAAACCGTGCTACAAGTGGAAAAGGAGTGTACATACTTCATTGCTATAAAGACCTTCTGTGGGATTCTTATTTTGTTGTGTTTAATGCCTTTTGTGGCTCTCTTTATCCGGTGCTTCCGTCAACATTTCAAGCGAATGAAGTTGTTGAACTTGCCACACCCAAATTAAATACTGTGAATGCGGTTTTGGAAGAAAAAGATGATCAGGAAACAATGGAGAATGCGACTGATGAAGTAGTAAGAGATTGTGTCCCTTCCAATCGGGACATTTTAATACAAACTACATTGAATATACTTGAGTTGGAGGATGGCATTATTGATTTTGCGCTTTGCGAAACCATACGAGCTCTGTCTCAGTCCATGCTGCCCATGCCACTCACGGAATTCTCACCTTTACTGATTTCAAATTACCCAAGAATTCCTGGGGCCAAATTACAAATTGATTTTAAACGAACAACGTATAAAAAGCTTCTTCCGTATTTATTGATGAGACCTGACCTGGTTACCATTTCTGAGGAAAAAAAAGGCAATCATTTTGTCATTCGAATAAACAAATCGAGCGAGCTACTAAGGCAACATCGACGAAATTATGCTGAATTTTTGCAGACAATTCATGAGCCTGCAAAAGAAGAAGAAGCTCTTGAAGCTGAACAACAAGTGCTTCGAGATGGTGCGAAAGGGGGGTTTAAGCGTCGTATTGTATCCATTGAAACATTATATTCCCCCAAAAATGGAGGTGCTATTGAATTAAAGCGTATGCTATGTACAGGATTGTACATGGATCAGCTAGAGCAGAGGTCTTTGGGAGAAACCCACTCTCAATCTTCTTTGTTGGCATATAACGAGGATAACAATGATTTTCTTGATGAATTATATTCTCGAAAACATTTATGTGATAACCTTCGCAAGTATGCTAAGACAAGAGGACTTTTGGACACCGAAGGTAAGTTGCATGGTCCTCCATTCGTTCAATTAAAGGACATTCTTTTGCCTCTTGCTAGCAAATTGGATGAACACATGCGCATTACTGAAGTTGAAGAACTAGTTTTTGAACGTCTGTTTTCACCTGTACATCAAATTGCTATGGAAACGATTCAGGTTATTAATGGTGCTGCCACTTCTGTAACACTTATTACAAAGACTACGAAAAGGGGTAAATTACCAAAGGTTTTGGTTTTTACAGAAAAACGACAAGGGAACAAAATTGTGACAATTGTGAGAGGGTTAGATGCTTATGGCTTTGATTTGACGTCTTTGGCAGCTCAATGGAAACACCAATTTTCCACCTTCTGCACTGTATATGATCCATCCAAGGAGATGACAAACGTTAAACAAGGAACCAGAATTCCATTAGAACTTCAGCTAGGTGGGGATTGGGTATCTAAACTAAAGGTTGTCTTGGGGGATGAGTTTGGCCTTCCACAGCACACGTTGAACTTCTCTGGTAAGTGAACTGACATGACTATACTTTTCCGTTGTTCTTACTTTTTGATGTTCTTGTTCTTCTTGCTGTGTACTACTAATGACACAGCGATGTTTATTGTCTGAGTAATGGGTTTTAATTTTTTTTCTTCCTTTTGTTTTTGGGGAGAAACTGATGGGTGGTAGGGGGAGGGGGTTTATTGCATGTACTAATGTCCATTCCGTTGCCGTATTATTATTATTATTAAAGATATTATCTCTATTTCTTTATTCGTTTTTGGATACAATTTTATTATTGCCTTTGCACTTTTTCTACTTAGAATTTGAGGTATCATGAAAGCTTTGTTTGCGGCTGCAGCCGTCGGATTTGCCTCTTCATGTCGGTATAATGGGAAACCAGTCAACTGTTCTGCTGCAAAGAGTCCTTTTTCCACAACAGAGTTCCGTCCATTTACATTGATGAATTTTTATGACGAGTCATACAATACAAGGGTGTTTCGTTTTGCGCTCCCAGAAGCTGATATGCCGCTAAATCTGGAGGTTTCCTCCTGTATCACAGCGAAGTATACTGGGAAAGATGGAAAAGATGTTATTCGTCCCTATACTCCAATTAATAAAGATGATCAACGCGGTTATTTTGAAATCCTTGTGAAAAGGTACGAGGGTTCCAAGATGGGAAGCCACCTATTTTCTTTGAAGAAAGGTGATACTGTGGAGTTTAAAGGACCCTGGGTGAAGATTCCAATTAAGGCGAACCAATACCGACAAATTGGCATGATTGCAGGGGGGACGGGTATTACCCCAATGTATCAAGTGGCTCGTAACGTCTTGCGTGTGCCTAAGAACACGACAGCTGTCTCTTTGATTTATGCCAATAAACGTAAGGAGGATGTGCTTTTGGGTAACGAACTTAATGAACTTATGGAAACGTGCCCTCTTTTTTCGCCATATTATGTTCTTTCCAAAGCCCCTTCAGATTGGATGGGAGGTGTTGGATATGTGAACAAAGAGATGATCAAGTCCATTATGCCGCCGCCAAGCAGTGCTGCTGATTCCATTATCCTTGTGTCTGGACCTCCCCCTTTTATGGAGGCTGTTTCAGGTGACAAGGATTTTACGATCAGCCCACCTTCTCAAGGTGAACTGAAAGGAATGCTTAAAGAGCTTGGTTACATGCAGAAAATGGTCTTCAAATTTTGAGTTGCATTTCGTCTCATACAAGACATGATGGTTCAGAATGTTAAATTAATTTTGTATTTTTTTTTCTTGTTGAACCAAAGTCTCTTCCTCTCCCCGCCTTCATGATATATATATGAGAAAACCTTTTCTGAAAGAGGGTGGGAAACAAAACAAGCGTATTGGTGTGTGAGACTGGGGAATAGACCATTTTGATTGAGCTTTGTGTGGATGCAATGTTGCTGTTGTTGTTGTTTTGTTGTGTATGTGTGTATCGGTGTCGGCGTCAGCGGGGCCATTCGGATGAAATGGGAACGAATCACATGCAAAAACAACAAAAGTGAAACTGTCCTTAAGAATAATAACAAGGAAAACAAATCAAAAAAACAACAGCAACAATGAGAGCCTTCTCCATCACAGCTATTTTTTTTTTTTTGGTTTCTGCCCACCACCAGCCCTATTGCAACCCGGTCCGGCATAAAGACAGCAGAGGAGCCATTTTTACACTATGAGTTTCGTCCGTTTAAATTTGGGTCTGCGGAGGCTGTGTCACGTGACACAAAACATTTTACTTTTGCCCTCTCTCTCCTCCCCCCCCCCCCTAATGGCGTGCCGTTGTTTCTTGGTATTCCGTCCTGTATATGACCCTTTGCTTTTTTGAAAAGACGGGGAGGAGGTGATCCGGCCGTATACGTCTTTGAATTTGAGGTATGATGAAGGTGCATTTCACCGTTTGGTCAAGTGTTATCCCAGCTCAAAAGTGGGGACACATTTCCATGAAGTGAAAGATCCTTATTTCATTGATGTTTGGGATCATTGGAAAAACATGGAACTTCCGCACACCAAATATACAAGCATGAAACTTGTGGTTGGTGGTACTGGTATTATCCCCGCATATCAACGCATTTGTAACATTTTGGCAGATGTTTCGAACTCTACAACGCCCTCCTTGCTGTAGTGTAACAAGACGCAGCAATACATTTTATTGAAGCATGTCGTGGATCAATTAGTTTATGATCACACGAACAGATTGTTCGTATATCACTTGCTGCCGGATGCGCCGGCAAATTGGTCCGGCTACAGTGGGATGATTTTCAAGGGTGCCATCCAGGAAACAATGCTGAGCCCCGACAAAAAAAACAACCTTATGATTATGAGTGGCCTTCCCGCTTTTATGAAGTCAGTGTGCGGAATTAAGGATGATCGCAGCCAGGGACCTCTTGGCTACTTGAAGGAGTTGGGGTACACCGCGGATACAGTCCATAGCTTTTGAGACACATATTTTTGTCTGCATTAATAAGGGGAGGGGGTTCAAAGGGGCTAAGATGACAAACACGAGCAATATCAACTTACGAGGTGAAAATCTACATGCTTTTATGGTGGATCCAATGCGCTACTGGGTATGATGTATACACATACATTCTTCATGCAAAAAATGAGGTTAATAAAGTGAGTGACCTCCCCACACTCTTTTTCTCTACAAACAAAGAAGCAGGGGGAAAAAAAAACAGGAACATGTTGTTTCAACAGCAAGCCCATCACCACAAAGGAACCGAAAACGATTTATCTAAAACCTGGGAGATGATGTGCGAGGGGGGAGGAAGTGGTGTCTGAAGTCTGGCAAAATTGGATATATGATGGGGTTCAAAAACCATAGTTTCTCTTTCACGCAAATCTTTTCATTAGCGTTTTTTGTTTTTGTTTTTCAAGGCAGGGATGAACCAATTTTCTTTACAGTTCATCTTTTTTTTTGTTTGCTTGGTTATTGCCGCTGGTGCTTTTTTGGTTTTTCCCATTTTTTTTTTGTCTCTGTACTTCTCTTTCACGAACATGAGGCGTATAGCTGTGATTTTTCTGCAGCTGCGTTGTTGTTGAAGAGAACATGAGAATGGAGGTGACTGGAATATATATATTTGTTTGAGATAAAGAAAAATGAATGCAAAACACCTTTAGGAGGCATTTTTTGTTTGTTTGGTTGGTTTCTTTGTGTAACGACTCTCCTCCTCTTCTTACCCCGTTTTTTCTTCATCTCCCAGTTCACTATTTTTTTTTTTTCCTTTATATATATATATTTGCCTGTCCTTGACCACCCAATTCCCAGGACAAATAGTCCGTGCAACCGGCAGAGGGAAGATAGGGGACAAGAGGCATGCATCAGCGAACGCTTTTGTGTTTACTTTTTAGCAAGCCCATAACACAGGGTTACATCGCGCAGCTTCCGCAGCCGTCCCCAACACGCCGCTGTACGTCTTGGCGCAGGGCTTTTGAGTCCAATGATGAGGTGCGGCAGATGTACACTCCCGACGCGGAGCGCTACGAGGAGTGGTACAAAGCAACGTACTCCATTGAAGATCTTAGCGACGGATCTGCCGCGTCCGGGGCGACGTCGAATAGGCGTTTAGACGATACGAAAAACATGGAATTCAGCATCTCTCTGGATGACCTTCGCGCTGTCGAAGAAGAGATGGAGTTGTGCTCCGAGCAATTCAACCACAATACCTTGGTGCGTTGACAGGGGTCAAAATTGAAGGCCATCTACCACACCAATGTGGGAGGGTTAGTGGAAAGGGCGATGCAGTTGCTACTGAGGTTTTTGTTGCCGGTGGTCGTAGTTGTTTTTGTCTTCATGAGATATGCATCAGAAGTAATACACTTATTTGTATTTCGCTGGTTGTGCAGCACTGAAATGCCGAGTGATCTGGACGCATCTGTAAGGGGCGGCGTGTAGAGTCACCATGCATGGACGCTAAAGGGGGTTGTGACACGCTTTTGAGGAGGCACCATGAGTTTTTTTTCTCTTTTTTTTTGTATGTGCGCGCGTGTGTGCATCTTTTTTTTTTTTGTTGTTGCTTTTTTTGTTTTCTCGCTTCACTAGTGAACTGTGGCTGTGTTGCGGCTTAGGTGTTTTTCTTCCGGTTTTGGTGGTTTGCACACGAGGCAATCAAGGGGAAGAAGCGAGGACAACAACAAAGTAGGAGAGAGACAAGTACCACAATTTCCGGGGCAAGAAGCTATTAGTGAAACAACCCCCAAAAAACACACTAAGAGAGGCGGTGTGTGCCAAAGGATAGAGAGGGAAAAGGGCAAGGAGAAGTCAATCACCTGTTGTAGGAGGTTGCAATGGAATTAAATTATATCGGCGCGCAATGCGTTGACATTTCTGGGCATACAACACCAACGAATGAAACGCCCTGTAAGAGCACTCCAGGAAACTCACATGTAGAGAATCTTGGGAATCATGCTCTGTTGAACGGCGCTAACCCTCCGTTTCGCCCGAGCAATTCGCCAGAGGACGAGGACACGTCAAGGATGCCTAAGAGCGCGGACACATTGCTGACTTCTTTCAGCTCTTCCTTGTGTCTAACGGAAGCTTTTCAGACAACCACGCATACGCTCGGGTCTTCTACATTCTCTGGAACTTCTGCGTTGCAAAATCCGGCCAACGCATTCGCAGTGCTCTGGGAAACCGGGGCCAAAGCAATCTTTGCCTCACTTGGATCTGAGGTTGGCGGGTCTGCTGCTGAAGCTTGTTGTGATATCCCCTTATTTTCAAATCTTGGCGGCAACGCGAATGCAGCCAGCGCTCCTCCGCCATCGCCGAAATATGAGAAGCCGGCAAAAAACTCCTGTTCTCGTGATGAGGATGATGACATTTTCTCAATGCTCAATCCCCAACCATGCGCCGCCGGTGGTAATATCTGGAAATCCGATGCCACCAATGAGGGCAGCTTAGAGAGGGACGACGAGAGCTGTCTGGAAATGCCCCAGGTTCTGCCCATTCCCTCCACTGCATCATCGGACTTCTTGGAGTCTGTCACAGAGGAAAGGTTTGATTTCATGCATGACACAGACATCGAAGAGAAGGTGCTCCTTGTGGTGGATCCACGACGTTCAAAGCTTCGTGTTCCACTTAGCGCGATATCCCCCACCAGAGCCCTTGGAGTTCGCGCACAAAATCCTAGTTTGTGCCTCCTCTATCAGTCCGGTCGTTGTCGCCAAGGCGCTAATTGTCATCAGGTACATGTAGATCCGGAGGTGGTAGACCGCATACGCCGTATTGTAGACAGTCTTCCATGTTGTTGCACTTTTCATGGTGACTACAATGCCCATCTTTGGAATGCAAAGGCCAACACCAGCCGAAATGTTGTGATCAGTGGGGTGGTGGTGCCGCTCAGCCGTGTGGCTTATACAAATGGCCTAACCCGCTTTGTTACAGGCACAACACAACGCCCGCTGAGCCGTGGGGTCCTCTGTCGTCTGCACGGTAAACCGGGTGGTTGTCGCTATGGCGCAGATTGCTGGTATCTGCACGTGTGCCGTGAAATTCTGGAAAATGAGTTTGCGATTGTGATAGGGTCCCATACGACGAATTCAACAACGGAAGGTAACCCAGCACTGTCGCCAAGTGTGGCACGAACGGGTTCATCTGTAACGCATGACGTCCAAGCAACGGTATCATTTAAACAGCAACAGCGGTCTTTGTCAACTTTTCCTTTTGCGGAAATTTCTTCTTCAGCTGTGGCCGTAGCTCCCTTTTTGATCCAAGACCACAAAAATAATGGTGGTGTCGGCACGGCGTTTGCCAACAGTAGCCCGACTGTCTCTTCAGCATTCTCTTGTGTGTGGGTACACCCCACTTCGCTGCCACAGAAATCGGTGCCGACGCTTTCAAGTGTAGCTGCAGCTGGAGGTGCGGGCTTGCACTATGAGAGTTTGCTACAAGGCCCTTTCGCTAGTACGATGCCGTCCCAGGGGGTTTCCTCTCCCTCTCAGAATCTAAGGTGTGAAACTGCTGTGCTCATGTCCAATGTATACTCTGCTAACCAAGCGGCCTTCGCTTTTCCAATGCACGATGGGCTTGCAACTCAGTCGTCTATGTCACCTACCCCACCGTACCACCTTGTGCAACAAACTCAGGCCGTTGGAGTGACGGGAGTGCAATTGAATTCCTTCCCTTCAGCAGCATACCCTGCTATGGGCTTCACACAGCAACAAACACAGCAGCAGCAACAAGATGGGCAGCAGACATACATACCGCAGCAGGCTACGAACATGGCATCTTCGGCTTTTATTGCTCCCCCCGCTGTTTACGCTCCGCCTAGCCACTTGGAAGGGTTTGTTCAGTTGCAAGCCAGTGCGGGGACAGGCATGACGTTTCTCCCTGCAGCACCGTATTTGTTTTGAGAGGGGAACAATGGGGGGAAGCGAGGCGAGCAACCACGGCACGCACACATACGAAGGAACAGTAAAATAAGCGAAACAAAAAAAAATAACAAAAACAAAACAAAACAAAAAAAAAATAGGTCAGATGAGGCGCATGGCGGAGGAATAACAGGGGGCGCGGTAAGAAACAAAAGGAACATAAATGTGAAGGGTGAAAACAAAAATAGCGTGTATGTTTTTGTGGATGCGTGTGCAAATACATTGAATGCTGAGAAGTCGTTATTTATTTACTTAATGTTCTTTTTTGTTTTGCTTTCACCGAACCACTGCCGTTTTGGGTTTGCGGGCAGTTAGTTAGATTGGACAGACTTGACTCCGATGCGTGGCAAATTCCCCCCCCCCTCCC